CCGCGGTTTGCCGACCACTGCGCTGGTTTGGCTCAGTGGATAGAGCATCAGCCTGGTCAAGGGCACATGCCCAGGATGAGGGCTCGATCCCCAGTAGGGGGCGTGCAGGAGGCAGCCGATGGATGATTCGCTCTCATCATTGATGTTTCTCTCTCCCTCTCCCTTCCTCTCTGAAATCAATAAAGAAATATATATACATATATGTATATATATAAAAGAATGAGGTAAAACAACTGTCCTCTCCTGTTATAGATTCTAAGGTGTACATTTTCTCACATTTTAAATAAAGTGTTTGATACAGATTTTGCCTTTCTTACTGGTGCATAAAATACTTGTGTACCTTGCAGTGGATGGCATCTTAGACCTAACGAAACCTGGTATTCCAACAGCAGACAGTGCCCACAGCAATACTTAGAAAACCCTGGCCAGGGAGGGTATGGCCAAGCGGGCGCAGTCAATCACACAACCAGGCCTAGCACCCCAATTCTGAGGTCTAATTTTCACAATATTTTTTAAAATTGGCATACAGAGCTGGAGAGGTGAAAAAGACCTTCAAGATAATTCAGATCGCCCTAACCGGTTTGGCTCAGTGGATAGAGCATTGGCCTGTGGACTGAAGGGTCCCAGGTTCGATTCCGGTCAAGGGCATGTACCTTGGTTGCGGGCAAATCCCCAGGGGTGTGTGTGCGCAGGAAGCAGCTGATCGATGTTTCTCTCTGATCAATGTTTCTAACTCTCTATCCCTCTCCCTTCCTCTCTGTAAAAAATCAATAAAATATATTTTTAAAACAACAACAACATTGAATATGGCAAAAAGAGACAGCCAAAGCAAGGAGTAAAGAAAGAGAAATAAACAAGAGGGAAAAGAAAGAAACACACAGCAATTTCCCCTGAAATCCCATTTAAAACAGACGTAAACACAGCTTCTTAGAAATCCAGGCTGTTGCCCTCGCCCTTTGCCCACCTTTTGGGCTCCAGGCAATAACTTGAAAGCTTTTAACTTAGTCTAATGATCCCATCAAACAGATGAAAGACCTGGACCCAGAAATGTTTCTTATCATTCTGATATAAAACAAGTTCACAGGGGAGTTGATGAACTCTCCTTCCTTGGACCAAGGATCCTTAAACTCCACCAAAATGTCTTCTTTCTTTCTCTGGCCAATGTCTCTAGTTCTGGAACAGGACAAACTAATAATAAGCGACACATGTTTATGCGTCCTTTCTAAAACATCCTAATTTTTAAAAAAAAGGGAAGATATGCCCTAACTCAGTATTTCTCAACCTTCCTAATGCCGCGACCCTTTAATACAGTTCCGCATGTTGTGGTGACCCCCAACCATAACATTATTTTCGTTGCTACTTCATAACTGTAATGTTGCGACTGTTATGAATCGTAATGTAAATATCTGATATGCAGGATGTATTTTCATTGTTGCAAACTGAACATAATTAAAGCATAGTGATTAATCACAAAAACAATATGTAATTATATATGTGTTTTCCGACGGTCTTAGGCGACCCCTGTGAAAGGGTCGTTCGACCCCCAAAGGGGTCGCGACCCGCAGGTTGAGAACCGCTGCCCTAACTGGTTTGGCTCAAGGGACAGCGTCAGCCTATGGACTGAAGGGTCCTGGGTTCGATTCTGGTCAAGGGCACATGCCCACGGGTTGCGGGCTTGATCCCCAGTGCATGAGGCGTGCAGGAGGCAGCCAATCCATGATTCTCTCTCATCATTAATTTTTCTTCCTCTCTCCCTCTCTCCCTTCCTCTCTGAAATCAATAAAAATAGGATGGCTATGGTGACACAGCCTTTGGCATCCACTGCCACGGGGCCTAAGGGAGGAAGCGCTTGCTCTGGCTCCTTGCTCTGGCTTTTACCCTAAAACGACAACAACAACCACACTACAACTTCACAGGTTGCAAAACATGTCCCCACACACGTGGTCCTTCCACCTCGAACCAAGGCAAACCATCGGCGCCCGGGGAATTCGGGCCACCCCGGCATGGCTCCAACCTTCTCATGGCTCCAACCAATGCTTCCGGGCGGCCCCCCATCAAACCACGCACTTTCCTCCGTCCTGCCACGGGGCCTAAGGGAGGAAGCGCTTGCTCTGGGGCTCCTTGCTGGCTTTTACCCTAAAACGACAACAACAACCACACTACAACTTCACAGGTTGCAAAACATGTCCCCACACACGTGGTCCTTCCACCTCGAGCCAAGGCAAACCGTCGGCGCCCGGGGAATTCGGGCCATCCCGGCATGGCTCCAACCTTCTTCAAGGCTCCAACCATTGCCGTCCCATCAACCCCACGCACTTTCCTCCCGACCTGATGGCCGGGACATCGATCAGAGAGCCCGGAGCCCTGGCTCCACACCTCAGCGCTGGCTCGTGGCCTCCGTCCGCTCGGTACGGCCCGTCCCGCCGAGGTAGGGACCACGCGTGCGGCACGAGCTAATGAATGAATGTGAACCAAACCCGGAAGCGCCTCTCTATGTGAATTTGGGGGGAAAGCGGTGACCTTTCAAAGGCCTGCTGTGCAACATCAGTTGTTCTAGGACTTTTCGTCTGGCGCACACGGACTCTGCGCCGGGCAGCCTGCAGGCAAAGGCTGTGTGTCAAGGGGAGTAAGGCCCTCTGGCCCCCGCCCCCTGAGAGCTCGGGCTGCAGGGAGGCACAGGGCGCT